TGACTTTTGGAGGCATGAAAGTGTTTTTTTTTTTTGCTCAGAGCAGTTTAGGGAGGTAATAACAAAGCCTATTGAAAGCAAGCCTGAAATTATTTGCCTAAAAAGCATAACGGCTAATGCTAAAACTGCACCTATATGTCAGTACACAGGGAAGCTATGCATTTCCACGTAACCAAGTTACGTGTTAAGGGTCTTACAATAGTAAGTGATACATGCAACAATACAATCTCCCTCATAGTAAGAAAACCTCTGTTAATAATACTGAACCACTTTGATCATGGACTTTGGCTAAGGGATCTTAGAATGACCAAAACAACGGCTGCATCCGAAACTTCCTACTACTCAGTAGATGTTGCATTTGAATGTGAATGTTCTACTCAAACATTAGAAAAGTACAGTTTATACAGTTTGAATGTGAGCAGTATGAATAGAACTCGGACGTACTACATCCGCCATTTTGTCATGATCACCTACGCGCGTGAGTTGCGTCACTTCCTTCCTTCATGAATTCTTTTGCAGGGCATCATGAGATAGCATCATATGCACACTTCAGAATCTCACTGAAGGTAGTAAGTTATACGGGTACTTCTCGCATACTGTTTTTCGAATTCTATGATTTTGGACATACTACTCGACTCACATACTGTTTTTAGCATATTGTATAGTATGGAAGTATCAATTTCAGATGCAGCCAATATGTTAGATGTCAGGTACATGTGGTTGGTCTGCTGGTTTGTCCAATAGTGTTGTCCCATCATGCATATCACAAGATCTGCTAAACAAAATAATTTGTTTGATACGCGTGCAAGAATTGAATCTTTAAATGTGTTTGATAGTAATTTGTGCTAATTTTTTTCATATCAAATTAAACGTTTTTCCTAATCAGTTATGTGCATACATTTTTTATGCGCATTATCTAAATGTATTCGCATATTGCTTATTCCATTAATCATTTGTAATGTGATATTCCAAAAATATGCATAGAAATAGATGGATGGAAACATAGCTAGTCTCTTTAAAAAGCTACCTGCACAACCCTTTTGCATTCCAATATTCTTTTATTATATATATATTTATTATATATTATTATATATAATATATTCTTTTATTTTAATGGACAGACATCTTTCCTTTTCATAAAGATTTACAACAAAGTACTATTATGGCAGGACAGTAGTTGGCGATGTCACTTTGTAAAGAAACAGAATTTTGTATTTCAATTGTTTTTTAGTTGTCAAGCACATAGACTAAACTAGGGCTGCTCAATATTGGAAAAATCTGATATTGCGATATCCTATTTTTCTGCAATACATATTGCGAAATAAATGCAGTTTCAAAAGATATCTTGAATATACTGTATCTATTTGATGTTTTCTGGGGAGTTTCACAAAATATTCAGCTGCAAAAATTAAATAAACACAATGCAAAAAAAGCTTTTCTTACTTTGTTTTGTCTCGTTTCTTGTCCAATTATCAAAAAATAATAATAATAATAATAAAATCTTAGATCAAGTAAAAATATTGTTTAGTTTTCACCATCAGAGAAATTAAGTGAAAATTAAGAGTGTTTCATTAAAACAAGGAAAATTATCTCCTAAGTATGTGAAATGTAGATATTTGGACTATAAACATGACAAAAATTCTAAGTAAGAAAAATTTTTTCTTGCATTAATCGTATCCATTTTTTTATAAATACAATGATTAAATGCAATTCTGTAGCTCCTCGACTACTATAATTCAGACTGGATATTACATATCTTTGCGATGTGTCTATTGCAGATGTACGCATTGCAATATCAATGCTGAAACGATATATTGTGCAGCCTAATAGACTAAACACCTAACTAATTTGCATGAGCAGGACTTCATCATTTTCCTAAATCATTAAGTGATATTTATTCAAGAAGTGATTTTTATTTATATAGTGCTTTTACAATATAGATTGTCAAAAGCAGCTTTACATAGTTCTAGTAAAGTCCAGATTTCAGAGTTGAAGTCATTAAAAATATGTTAAATAATAATACATGTTGATGCACAATACATTTTTATAATGATCATAAAATTAAAATAAATAGATGCAAAAACACATAAAAAATGCATTTATACTTATTTGAGCAACAGGCTAATGATTTTCTATACGTTCACCCTTAGCACATGGCCTTATAATTCTATTGTAGCTCATAATCTGTCCTGATATTTCCTGTAAATCAACTGTTTAAGCTGCACCATCAATAGTTGGACATACATGATCTACAGCATCTGCCGCAAAAGATTATTTTCAGTACAAACTGGGTTCATATGACTGATCTCTTCCCCAGTCTAGTCTGGCAACCTATTATTGAAAAAGCATGAATCATTGAAAAGATGCTAAATTTAGCAACCAATATGGCTTCCACAAAAACAGAACGAAAGACAATGCCAGCAGCTCACCAAGCTTTGCCCATATAATCATGCTCATTTGTGGGTTCAGATTATTGTCTTTATACCTATCTATAGAAGAGCTCAAATTATTACCTGATCTATAGAAAAGCTAGTTACAGAAATACTTTAAATACCTTAAATCTTAATATAATATAATATAATATAATATAATATAATATAATATAATATAATATAATATAATATAATATAATATAATATAATATAATATAATATAATACAATACAATAATATAATATAATTTATATATATATATAAATAATGGCTTAGTCCCTCAATTAATCAGGGGTTGCCACAGAGGAATAAACTGCCAACTTGTCCGGCAAATGTTTCACACAGCAGATGCCCTTACAAATGTAACCCAGTACTGGGAAACATACATACGTGCTCATTCACACACAAAATTATGGCTAATTTAGTTTATTTAATTCACCTATAGTGCATATGTTTGGACTGTGGTGGAAACTGGAGCACCCTGAGGAAACCTACGCGAACAGGGGGAGAACATGCAAACTCAGAAATGCCAACTGACAAAATTTTAATAAAATAAAATAAAATAAAATAAAATAAAATAAAATAAAATAAAATAAAATAAAATAAAATAAAATAAAATTAAATTAAATTAAATTAAATTAAATTAAATGAAATTAAATTTAATCAAATTTAATTACCTTTTTTATTAAATTAAATTAAATTCAATTAAATCAGTATCAACGCTCCATATACTGTACACAGAGAACGCAGGTTGCATTAAATTTTTAATAATGTTTATTTAGTAATATTAATATAAACTGAGTGTACTGTATATTGAAATAAATGAAATGAATAAAAAAATATTGAAAACATGTTGTTAAATACATTTTCAATAGCATTTTATGGCGAACAGAAAAAAACATGTGATGTATCTTTTTCCACGCACGCGTCCGTGTGCCCTGGCCCACTTTTGTTTGCGGCTGTTAGCAACCATAGATCATCATAACTGATTCAAGTTGCAACTCTATCCCTGGAAAAAGACAACAGCAGTCTAGAGCCGAGAAGAGGAAAACAGTACAAGATGAATCCCATGTATCGGCTCTGAATATAATAGAATAAGTACATTTAACAATATTAATTATTTATTTTAATACATTGCAAAAATGATTGATTTAGCAATGCTTAAGTTAAGAGTGCACAAAAGCATGTGAAAGTGAATCATGTTTTAAAAAATCCCACTACGCTAATTAAATTAATTAAATTTACCACCGACCACAACCCATCACGAAACACCTGCTCCCAATACACCCTGTGCAACAAGCAGTATAAGTGCCAACACACACACAAATAGCAATGCACACACACAAACAATCCTTCAGTCCGCAGGATCTCAGCACCTTGCTAATGCGAGGTCATCCATTTCCTCTCATTCAGATTTTAATAAAACTACGCGATTAATATCCTTTCCCTGAAAACTATTATCCCAAATCACTGAAAGACTCCTGCCCTTTCTTTTCATTTCGCACCAATCTGAAAGCATTGTGGTTTCTGAACAGAGCTGTGAGACTTGTGGTTATTTACACCGGCTGTTAGTTGAAATGATCTTGCATAATGCCTTGACAAAATTCGTATTCATATTATAATTGGAGCTGCAGGGCTGTACAGTAGACACACTCAGCATCCGCAGCACATTCACTTTGTGACAAACTGTAGTGATATATCCTCATGAATCATAAAAATCAACTACGAAAGAGAGTCAAACATGCCATGACAGCAACTGCTCATGCCTGACAAGCCATAAAGGAGCCAGGCATATGACTAGTAGCCAACTAGCGTAGCCGTGGAGATCCGAATTGAGTTTTGTGCCAGTTATACATCAGACTATATCCAACTGAATGACTCAGAGGGCTCTTCCAGTCTCTTGTACGTCACATGATGCTTCTGGTGTTCTCCTCAGCGGCCTCTTCGGTCTGGAGCAATCCTTTTATTAGCACATTTAACCAAAGTGCTTTACAGACCCAAGATTACCGAATAGCGCACATAAATTGCAATTTAAAACATACATATCCAGTCAGAGTTTCAACTAACCAGATCAGCACTGATTATTGAAATAATTGCAAAGTTAAATCTAATTAGAGTGAAAGTTTATCATCTGCGGTGCTTTTCAGGCATGTGACTGTATAAGCATTTCAAACAAGATTAAAGAATTCAGGTCAACAAGGATTAATTGTATTAATGATGAACCCAATAAAATGTTATTTTAAATTTGGTTATTTAATTTTTGTCCCGAATTCTGTTCGACTCCCAGGTAAATCATAATGCCCTGTTTATTTAAGTTGTATCTTTGCTCTGATGCATTTATGCATGCGTGCAATTTGTTTACTGTATATATATATATATATATATATATATATTTTTTTTTTTTTTTTTTTTTTTTGTAATATCATGCAGCCCTACCCTGTGCAAGAACATTTAGCACTAGCTGCAACCATGAAAGCAAATAGACAAGCCCAAATAGAGTGAATTACTACGTCAACAAAAAGCCAGCACATGTAAAGAAATGTATGACAAAGTTACTAGCGTCCATACCTTGACATAGAGCTGCTGGAACTCGTCTAGGTTGAGTCGGCCGGTGGGGCAGTCCTTCAGGAAGCCTTTGTACCACTGTTTGAGTTCGTGTTCATTAAATTCTGTGTTCTTCACCAGGTCTTCCATTACCTCAGGGGTCAGCTTGCTGTTCTGTTTCCCCATGGTGTCTGCGAGGCACACAAATCAAAATAGCTGTGATCTCACTTTGCCTGGAGCTGTTATTCATTTTAACTGTGAAAATTGTCTAAACTGTATAAAGGTTGTTCTGCGAAACGGAGGTCGACTGTGGCTCTCACATGCACTGAAGGTACAAAGTTCCAGCATTTATTGTTTAAGTCATTTATAATTTACCTTGTTACAAATGGATAAAACTATGTGCTTTGAGGAATAAAGGATAAGTACAGAGTATAACGATTTTAAATTAAATTTGATTAGTATTTTGGAGCTGCACTTAGTGATATTCCTTATTTTATATTTATGTAAAAGTGACTGAAAAGACTTTCTTAAGTTATAACCTATTGTTAAAGTAAATTACTTACTCCCAGGACTGATTTTTAGCCGCACCATCTTGGTGTTTCGCAACATCTAGTTTTTTCATGAGGTGAGTTGTTAGCGCAACTCTCAACCCCAACCTGGAGGACCAGGGCATACACACATACACTATAGACAATCTAGCTTACCCAATTCACCTACAGCACGTTTTTGAGCTGTGGGAGAAACCGAAGCACCCAGAGGCAACCCATGCAAACATGGGGAGAACATGCAAACTCCACACAGAAATGCCAACTGACCCAGCCGGGGCTCAAATCAGTGGCCTTCTTGCTGTGAGGCTACAGCGCTACCCATTGCGCCACGGTGTCACCTTTCAGTGAATTCATTCATTCATTTTCTTGTCAGCTTAGTCCCTTTATTAATCTGGGGTCGCCACAGCGGAATGAACCGCCAACTTATCCAGCAAGTTTTTACGCAGTAAAAATAAATTTAACTGAATTTGAGTAAATGGTATTTTAAAGTCATTTAATCTAAGCACACACACACACACACACACACACACACACACACACACACACACACACACACACACACACACACACTGCCACTAATGTATGTATATTGCAGAAGAAAACATTAATTTCATAATTAATATCATGGCTAAAATAAAACTAAGCAAGCCATGCAGTTAAATAAATATGATGGCTTTAGTGAGTCACGGTGGATTAAATCATTTCATTCAGCTGATTAAATTTAAAGTAGACTTAGATCAGTGAGCAAACAAATGGAGGACATTACCAGAAAAATTCATTTTCTTTTTGGCTGAGTCCTTTTATTTATCAGGGGTCGCCACAACGGAATGAACCTCCTACTTATCCAGCATATGTTTTATGCAGCGGATGCCTCTCTAGCTGCAACCTATCATTGGGAAACACCCATATACTCTCATTCACACATAGAGGAAACTCACGCGAACACAGGGAGAACATGCAAGTCCACACAGAAATGCCAACTGATCCAGCCAAGGCTCAAACCAGTGACCATCTTGCTTTAAGGTGACAGCGATACCCACTGCGCCTTATAAATAAAAGGAAAGAAAAAAAAAAGGAAAAATGTAATAATAAAAAATAACAAGGAAAAAAATTACTCTTCTAAAATTACTGAAGGATCCATCTTCTTTATGTGATCTTAACAGGTTGCCATAAAACATAATAGTACAACCTCTTACAGTATATCATATTTTTTCTAAGGTCAGGTGGTGTAGAAGTTTCATAAGACATTGCCTAAAGTTTGGAGGAAATTTTTCCTTCCATTTGAGCAATATTAACCTTCTACCTAAAAGTGTAGCAAAGGCAATCACATTTACCTTACTTTTATTAAAACATAAGGACTGTGGTGTGATACCAAATATTAAGTTTATGGCCTCGGGTTTTATGGTATTTAATGCATAAAGGAGAAGTTTAAATATTAGCTGCCAGATATTCCCTATATTTGATCAAGCCCTAAACAGGGTGTCACAGTGCAGTGGGTAGCACGACGGCCTCACAGCAAGAAGGTATTTGATTTGAGCCCAGGCTGGGTCAGTTGACATTTCTGTTTGGAGTTTGCATGTTCTCCCTGCGTTCACATGGGTTTCCTCCGGTTGCTCCCGTTTCCCCCACAGTCCAAAGACATGTGCTTTAGGTGAATTGGATAAGCTTAATTGACTATAGTGTGTGGGTGTTTCCTAGTGTTGGGTTGCGGCTGGAAGGGCATCTGCTGCGTAAAACATATGCTGGATGAGTTGGCGGTTCATTCCGCTGTAGCGACCCCTTGATTAATAAAGGGACTAAGCTGAAAAGTAAATGAATGAATGAATAAATGAATGAATGAATGAATCCCAAAATTAGTGTAGCTGGCTAGCTAGCTTGGTTAGTTTCATTTCATTATTTTTTCAATCATTTAATAACCATGGAACTTTTCCATTTCACAAAAAGTTTCTTTAAAAGAATCTTCAAAGTAGTACATGCTTAGTGAAAAAAAGATCTTCACTGAAAGGTTATTTTAGGGGCTCAAAAGTTTGCAAGCTCACTAGAGTTTGAGCATGCGAAATTCTGTAGTACGGTGATGTGAAAAGGGACGGGATTAAACAAAATAATTAGACATTTAAAAAAGCGAGTGATTGGTCCGTATTTTAAGCTTCTGTCCAGAGAGGTCATGTCTTGATCCTCGTTTGGTCTCACGCAGTCAAGTGATGCGATTTCGCAGGTTCACCAAGCAAACTTTGCAATGCAGCAAACTGCTAAACTTGCTGCACAAGCTTGCGTTTCCAGTCTGACAAATTTACGTGCGTATAAATGGAAGTCTATGAGGAGAAAAGTCCAGTGTGACCGAAGCTTAAGTGTGTTGAAGCAGGGTTGAAACTTTCCCTTTACAACTGTTCTTTTTAAGATTGTTGCAATGAGACAATATGGAAATGCCTATGGAGAGCATGCCAGAGTAAATTTTGTATGTAAATAGTATCTCACTGGACATAAAAGAATACTCATAAGAAACCTTTTTTCAATTTATAATTGCTATTACAAATGTCTCCTTGCCTCTGGACGACGAGCAGTGTTTTATCCTGCCCACATCTGCTTATAAGAGCAGCCCACAGCCTTTTCCCCCAACAGACGGCTGTCACACACACTGTGTGCATTACTGACAGGGAAATGGGTTAATTAAACAAAGCATCATTCTCTTAATTACCAAAAGGTCATCACATCCTAAGCTTCAATATGACATTTACATTTTTTTTGCAAATTGAAAACCTGTGCTTCTGTAACATTAATAAGGATACAATGAAAGCGCAGAGAGAAAGAGAGAGGGGGGGGGGAAGCTGAGGATGAAATGCTGAGTAATTCTGCTGCTTTTTAATTTCTTCATCTCTAACAAATCATAGTGATGAGCTCTCATCACACTCCTGTAAACACTAGATGAGAACATTACACTTCAAATTTCATTACAATTAATCTCCAGTCTGAGACTGACAAACGAGCAGCGATGCTGAAGATAATGAGCGCTAATTTAGTTTCCCACACAGCATTTTATTTTCAAGCAAATGGCAATCCTCATACATCCTGGCTTGGCTGTTCTCTAAATACACAGATGCAGAAAAAATCATTCATATTTCACGCATGGTGGAAATGACATGAGGCTACAATGCATGAGATTGCTAGCCGGCCAGCTTTTTAATGGCAGGAGCGTAGCCCTCGCTGATCTGCAGACTGCAATGGAGGCGTCCTTGGGGAATACCTCTCTTTATGAGGGATCCACCCATGAGAAAAAGCACAGCATAGCACATTCAGAGTGCTAAAAACAGCTGCCTTGAAACTGCCTATGAATCAGCGATAATGCATTGTTGTACAGCTCGCTCGCTCGCTCTCTGAGACTGATTTATGATAGCGAACTAATTAGATGATCAGCATCACTCCTAATTGAATCCTCATCCAGCTGATCCCTCCATGGTCAAAGATACGAATCACTTCTGTCAAGCCACAAAATGGAAAGTTCAAACAATCTAATAATCGGTCAATTAAAATTAAAGCTTCCAAAAGAGAAATGCACAGAAATGCAGTGAGTGCCATTGAAGAACAATGTTTGACTCCTCAAAGAATCTTACAATGAACAGCTCATAAAGAGGTTATAAGTCTAACTGTTCATTTATTAATGAACACATTTGTGTGTGTGTGTTAGCACTGTGTAAACAGCTTTTTAAAAAATGTTGCCTTTTGTAGTCTCTGAAACCCGTCATCTTATATTTATGTTAAGGAAAGATTTGTCCAGATAAAAGATGTGACATTTATATACACTCCTGAGAGGCTCTCTTTCATCGTATACTGTATGACACATAAAACTGTCTATACAATCTTCAAGATGCAACAAAACACTATTTAAGTCATTCAATCATAAAATCAATGTCACACAAAGAACAGTTATTTATTTAAAATACAGTCTTACACAGCCAGACCTGCAGTCTCATATATACTTTATAGCTCAACTAACATAACCGTGTAATTTGAATCCAATTTTAATTTAACCTCCAATAGTTTCAGAGCCTAAGTATCCACTTTAGTATCCATAACACAATAATCAGATGCTATTGTTACTGCCGTTTTCTCACCTTTGTCGGTTTGTGTGTATGTGTTTGTTTATTTTTATTGTTGTGAGGGAATGAGGGCAGCGTGGTGGCGCTGTCGCCTCACAGCAAGAAGGTTGCTAGTTCAAGCCCTGGCTGGGTCAGTTGGCATTTCTGTGTGGAGTTTGCATGTTTTCTCCGTATTTGCATGGGTTTCCTCTGAATGCTTCGGTTTCCCCCACAAGTCCAAAGACATGCTATAGGTGAATTGGGTAAGCTAAATTGTCCATAGTGTATGTGTGTGAATTAGAGTGTATGGGTGTTTCTCAGTAATGGGTTGCAACTGGAAGTGCATCCATTGTGTACAACATATGCTGGATAAGTTGCCATTCCGCTCCATTCCGCTGTGGCGACCCCTGATTAATAAAGGGACTAAGCCGAAAGGAAAATGAAGCTCAGCAGCTTGATGTTCAGTACAGTATTCACACTAAAATAATTGTTTTTATTTCTAAGTAAAATCCTAAACGGACTCACCATGAGTATATCACAGCTCTTAATTTATATTTAGTATCTTTTATTATTTGAGCACAATTGTGAGAACAGGAATAAATTGCTGGCTACAGTTCACTGTGAATAAGGGTTTCTGATTCTACATATACTGTAGCTCCTTTAAAACATTTATTCAATTTCCCTCGGTTTAGTACCTTTATTAACCAGAGGTCGCCACAGCGGAATAAACCGCCAACCTATCCAGCATATGTTTTACACAGCAGATGCCCTTCCAGCCATATTGAATTCACTTATAGTGCATGTCTTTGGACTGTGGGGAAAACCGGAGCACCTGAAGAAAACCCATGCAAACACGGGATAAAATGCAAACTCCAGACAGAAACGGCAACTGACTCAGCCGGGGCTCAAACCAGTGACCTTCTTGCTGTGAGGCGACAATGCTAACCACTGAGTTACTGTGTCGCCCTCCATCAAAACCAACTATTCTTTTTTTGTTTGTGTTTTTGTCTCTGTCCAAATGCTACAAATCAGGTTAATAATTTACCCAAAATCAAAATGCTATTTTACCCACCTTCTAACCTGTTCGGCATCAAAGATTCTTTGAGAAATGTCTTAGTATTTTGTGCCGATCAACATATCAGAGATCAATACTAAACAATTCTGCATGGAAATATGTTCTGTTTGAGCTCTGGAGAAAGAGTGTGGGATTGAAACAACATGATGGTGAGCACATGAGGAAAAAACATTCATTCTTGCACTGTAAAACCCAAAAAGTTGAGGTAACTCGAACTGTTTGAGGAAACTGATTGCAACAAACCATTTAAGTTCAAAAACTAATCCTAATAAGTACTGTTAACTTAATCTATTTGAGTAAAAGAAGCAATTTGAGCACAGTAAAACCCAATAAATGAAATAAGTGATTTTTTTTATATTTTTTTTCAAAAGCCTAAAACCCAAATTGGAAAAATGCCAGCGTGGACCAAGCTGTGTGAGGAGCTGTAAAAGCAGCACGATTCAGTCATATTTGCATCAGTTTCAAGCTATGAATATTTGGATTACATATCAACAGAGGAAAACAGAGATATAATCACAATTTCAGAACTTGCGATCAATATACTTCACCCGCAGCTTTTTTATAACCCTCATGTCCATGTCAGAGCTGAAATTTACCGTTTTAGTCTGTCTTTTCATTTGGAGATTTAGTCATAGGTAGGGCCAGACGCAATCTGCAGACATTTTTTACTGTTTCTGCGCAGAATTTAGTTAAAAATCTGCAAATTTATGCGGGACGATTTTGAGAGTATCATAACTAAAATCTTAATATATTAACTAAAAAGTAATACATTTTTAACTTGTATTTAATGTTTACAATGCAAATCCAATTAGATCCACTTTACTTGGTAAACAAATTAAATCTTCTATATAATAAATCTACTAAAAGACAGAAAATATTACTTTACAAACTGTATAATAAATAAATTATATGAACATTTTTATATTAGTCAATAATTATACTGAAATTAATTTAAAAACTGAATAATTATAAATTTACTCAAATTTACTGAAGTAAATAAACAGAATCAATGATGGCTAAAAACCTGCAGAATTCTGCGTTTTCAGATTTCGTGTGGGCCTAGTCATAGGTGACGATGTTACATCGGGTTAGTGTCTGCTTTTATATTTGGTGTGGGATTAATATTTGCTGGTAGGGAAAATCTATTTGTTCACTTCTGCTATTTATACTTTGATTTGCTTTTCAGTGTGTTTGTTTTTTCCACTGAACTGCAAATTAGAATAGAAACGATATAAAAACACAAACATAATGACAGTTATACTGTATATTGTTATGGGTAAATGATGCTAATTCTTGGAATAAAACCCTCAATTTCCCCTTTCTGGCTGCTCTTTCTATGGAAGCACTGTCCATGCGTGTTTCCTCGTTGGTTAGTAATGCTTTATTTTATTGCACAACAATTACTCTATCAGGATTTTGGGCTAAAAAAAAGAGAAATCACGGTTAATTTGTGATTATTATATTATTTTTAAATTTCACCTCTCTTGCTGTGCATGAACTGAGCTGTTGAATGGTCAGTGTATGAGGCGGCAAGGCTTTAGCTTCAGTTTTGATTCAATTACTTTCTAACCGGTTGCGTATGATGTCGTAAATATACCCCTTTAATGCATACTCCAGTCCTGTTTTGTCTGGCTTTCTCAGATATCTCACATGTACGCCAAAAATTACTCATTAAATCTAGGAATGTCTGACACTGGCACATACATATTGTAATAGACGTGCCAGGCACGAAAGCTTGACAGGTGTAACAACAGCAACTAAGGAGGGCGGGGCTTAGCGAAGGGTCAATTAGACCAAAACAAAACAAAGTTTCACATTTCACTTTTAACTAAACACTAAATTCCATGCATGCTGATGTGTTAACATGTAACGCGTTAACCCTTGTAGTCATAGAGATATATTTAGATCCTAAAAAGTCATTAAAACACTGCCTAAAACAGAGGAAAGGCATAAAAACATGTGTTCATATTTGGTCCATAAATGATTTTATGAGGTATTACAATTATACTGTCACTGCTGCATGTCCAAAGAACATTTTTTAGAACTTAATTTGGCCTGTATAAAAAAATAACAAGATGCAAAAACAAGATATTGCTACTTGTTGCATCATTCTAGGTGAGTCCCCCCAAAAATGGTGGCTTTAAGAAGCGATAGACTGAACAATAAGCCTCATGTGTACATGATGTGCTGATCTTCCAATGCTGTTAAAAAGAGTTGGTCACTGCAGGCTATAAAAGGAACCGAAGAGCCTGTCTACCTAAAAAGCAATAGTCCACTCCATTTTCCATTTAGGCTGCATCAGTGCTATTTCTGCTGCAACAGGAGACCAGAGAGAATGCTCTGTCCCCTGTGACTATACCGCGCAGGTTGTATCGATCTCTTAAAATGATTTAGCCTTTTCACGCGACACTGCTGTAATGCAGATAGATTGAGCTGATCTTTGGCATACACACAGACTAGCAATGCTACGTTCAAAGTAGAAGCAGCAAGGTGTGTTTATGCATCCACAGAAAAAAAAAATGCTTTGTTATGATCAACACAACAGTGCTGTGTTATGTTGTACAAGCATTCGTGTCATCTAACAACTGACTAGCAGGCGGTTATGATGACTATGCAAACTGAGCCCTGTCCAGAGATCAAAAGGCGTTTTAAACCCTGAGCCGACTCATCACAACAGTGTTCACATCCACACGAGCCTGACAGATTATGTCACATGTGAATCTAGCCAGCCAAGTGATTTAGCACATCCAGCTTATTTAAACAGTCATATTATATAACAAACATTTACTTTATTTAATTATTTTACAGCGTGACCTTGAGCGTGTAAGATTGTGGGTGGCTGATGATACTTGCTTAAAATGTCAATATGCTATTTCTGCCCTGTAACCCTTGTGCATTAGAGATGCATTGACCCTGCAGTCTACAAGAAGCTAGCAGTCACTTTTTGAATTTAGAACTATAAAAGAGCAACATCAAAACATTATGATGCTCATTTCATTTTTAAAAAAAAACAACTAATGTAATCATGCTGGAATTATAATTATGATCATCCTAATCACATGGAACCAAATCTAAGTCTAAATATAATGGCGATTTTGATATTGAATTCCATCATAACACAAAATAAAAACAGAAAATGGACATTTAAGAACATCTACAGAACATCAATATAATTAATCAGAATTTCAAAGCTCTTAGATTGAATCTGTCCATTAGCAAGAGGTCATTCAAACAAAAAAATAGTATAGTTCAAGTGAATATGTATTCAATGATAAAATAACAATACAAAACGGATTGTTAACAAATAACTGAGGGGGAAAAAGGTTGTTTCAAAATCAAGTCCAATTCTTCTGGTATATCTGGTATAGTTGGCTATGTAATCTGTCAAAATGCATGCATAACAAATGATATGCACCAACATGTGCGGACAAATACATTTCTCACCAAGCCCAACACTGTAGGGCTACGCGCATAACACACAGCTGTCTCAGAGGTGTACACCTGGGGCCATTGTCAACTCATGCCCATTCATTTGACATAGCAAGCTCAGATTTCTAGCCACTTTACTACTGTGCTTCAATTGCTTTTTTCATTTATAATGTAATTTGGCAAAACGTTGATTCACATGAATGTGGCTTTTAAAAATCTTAAAATATATAAAAACCCACAATAAATGGGTTTATGAGAGTTATTTATTCAAAAGCATTCTCATATATAATAGTTATGCACATTAAATCATCTGCTGAATCAATGCATTGCAATACTGCAGGTCGCAAAAGGATGAACCATTGTCAACGACTTTCCCAATGCACAGAGACACATAGAGGAGACTTACCGAAAAGGAGAGCCAAACAAGGTGTGAGGATTCCTGCTCCTAGGGTAGACGCGATGTAAGTGCTCTCTAATCGGTTGCCAGCTGCGGCGAGGTTTCTTTTGGGGTGAAAGGAGAGACGCAGCGATCACTGCAGCGAGGAGAGTCCACGCGCGGCGCAGCGCAATGCTCGAGCTGGTGTGTGACGCGACAGAGACACAGCAGAGCTCAGCGTGCGTCGGTCTGTGCTCATCACCAGAAAACGAGCTCGTGTTTTTACGGTGCTCCGCGGGCTCTGCTGTGCTCTGGGCTCTTTTGAGTGTGCGCAAATTGTGCCTTCTCGCTCTGGATGAACTCGGATGGAGCGGTGATAGAAAATGACATCAGCAAGTCAGTCAGATCGAGATGAGAAAGTGTTTGGGATCCACGCATTCCGCCTCTTTGTCTTTTTGTTTGTAATTAGCCTATGTGTGAATTGCATAATGGTTTTCAGAGTTTTGCATTTTTAGAAAATTAAGGTTTGTACTTGTACATGTACTTTTATATATTTGCAAAATATAAATGTTATGGTGCAGCCACATTAAAATGCCATTTTTGTCATAGTAATAACTTACAGCTCACATAGAAATCACTTTAAAACAAAACAGCTTTCTGCTGGTCACATTTACTAACTTGACATTCTGATTGGGGAAATTGAACATATATGCTGACTTTATGCTTTTCGAATAGCCTACCTTGGTGTTTTCCATCAGCTGTCAATGTCATTGTGTACTAGCTTTCTTCAAAACATGCTTTGAGTAAGCATCAATGATTTACACAGCCTAGTCGAAACTTAAAAGGGCTTACACTGGACATTATGCTATGCCACATATCTAAAACTTTAGTACATTATTATTATTATTATCTTTGAGGGTGATGCAGTGGCTCAGTGATTAGCACTGCCACCTCACAGAGAGAAGGTCGCTGGTTCAAGCCCCGGCTGGGTCATTTGGTATTTCTGTGCGGAGGTTGCATGTTCTTCTTGTGTTCTTGTGGGTTTCCCTTCGTGTGATCTGGTTTAGCCCCAAAGTCTTAAGACATGGGAAATAGGTGAACTGGGTAAGCTAAATTTTCCGTAGTGTATGTGTGTATGTCCTGGTCCTCCAGGCTGGAGTTGAGCATTGCGCTCAACTCACTTCATAAAAAAACTAGATGTTACGAAACACTAACATGGTGCAGCTAAATATCAACTTCAATATAAATTACCCTGGGAGTAAGTACTGTTATCTTTTAATGTTGCCAGTGGTGCCTCTATAATGCTGAACTGCAATCCAGCTGTAGACTGCATGTACTGTATAACGCAACATGTACAGAGGTGAACCAAGGTAACCTTGATTGTTTGGTGCCATCCTGCGACTGTATAATAAGTCAGTGTAGGCTGCATTTAGCCATTTTTGTTATGTTTATTTAAAGAGTTATTACAATATTACAGCTTAGATCAATGTTTTATGTCAAATTGTTTAGTTTTGTGGCAAGTATATGTGATTATGTACATCTAGGTGGTTGTTTGGTCACACTTTATTTTGATGGTCCGTTTATTGAATTTAAGTTACATTGCATCTGCATGCCAACTAATTCTCATTAGATTATAAGTAGACTGTTAGGTTGGGGTTAGGGTTAGTGTAAGTTGACATGTACTTGCTTGCAAAGTGTCTTAGAGTCAGTTAAATGTCTGTTGAAGGAGCAGTATCAGCAGATATTAAGCAGACCGTCAACTAATACTCAAATGGACCATCAAAATGAAGTGTTTCCAGTTGTTTTTGCTAAATAAAAGCCATCATTCTCATGCAACAGCTACTGATAAGTCTGTCTGATTTAATTCTGGAGTATAAACCCATAGATGTACAGGTACATTATGCCTTATATAAATAATATTTTCACCAGCATGGACCATGCTACACTTTGAGCTAGACTTTTTTGTAGGGATGAAAGGGATAGTAAGGGAACAGTGGGATGAATGGGAAGGGAAGTAAGAGGATAAACAGTGAACAGGTAGGTAGGGTGATCGTGCGTCCTACTACGATGATGTCCAGAGACTTAGAGTAGGGGTATCGTCTCTGTAATATTTTGGTAGAATGATTGGACCCCCCGATTCAACCCATGAGGGAAGAGAGGTTTATGGGATTGTCAATGGGAAGCAAGGAAATAGAGGAAAGGCAAGAGAACAAGAAGAACAGTGCTAGAGCGCTGGTTTGCCTTAAATAAGTTTTAGGGAGTAGGTGATTGGTTATGGAGGCAAAGTGAGGCATGGTCCCACTGCCGAAACATTGTTAACAAGTTAACTTCATGTAAAATTAGATATATTTTAATCATAAAAAATAAGTAACAATATTAAGTGGTGTTACTGTAGTTCAGTGCCTGTTTAACAACTTAAGCATGAATTTGCACCAAACTGGTTTATATAACCTTTTGTTACTCCATATACAAAAAAAAAAAAATTGTGCCAACCTGCCCCATTCCCCCTATTCACTATAAACAGAATTCTGCCACAGCCCATCTCAAGAGGAAACACTGTTACTTATTGCCAGAAAAGTGTCTAATTCATATGAATTTATACCATTTTATTGGTAAGAAAACATAAGATTTTAAAAGTGAACCACACCCCTCACCCTGTCATTAGGGGATGAGAAAATTGTACTATAATGTACAAATGAGATTGTACAAATTAATACAAATTAGCCATTAAATCAAAAGGTTTTAGAGATTGCATTCTCTGAGTTTAGTGATGATCTATTTTTCATCATCACAGGACAGGCACTGTATCTGTGGACAAAAATAACCAATGAATCTTTTTTTTACGAGGCTCTGACTTGGTTTCTTGAAAAAAGTGTTAAAGCACTTATACAGTTATGACCCATGATAGTTTGTCCCTTGAAGTGTAGTTTGCTTAACTTCTACTCCTAACAGCAGAGTAATGGATGATGTGAAAAAGGCAGAAAGTTAGAAGGCAGTTCGCAGATTTTCCACACTTTCAGCTGCACGGCGATGCTCTTTGTCATTCGCACATTTGTTGAAGTCAGCACCATGGTTAAAGATTTTCTCCCAATGCAGGCATCAATAAAAAGAGCTATGTGCCTCAGGAACGGTCGCCAACCTCTTCAAGTACAAAACGAAAACTTGTTTTGAAACAAACCAATTTTAGGGTGATTCGTGACCCACCTACTGGTAATACAAGTGTCAAATGGGACAGACGCCAATAGAGGAGTGAAAAATTAGCTCTGTGCTGTGTGTTGGAAAGTCTGGCAGAAATAAAAAGCCCTGAGTAGTTTCGAAATTATCTTTCTTGCTTTATGTACCAAAACTAGTTTTAAACTCATGCAATAACTTTTATGGATGTGCCTTCTTCAAAAATTCATGAATAATTTATATATAGTTCTACATGTAATCAAAATGCTCATAAAACTCTATTATCCCTCCTGCAGTTTGCACTAAAAAGAGAGACGGTGAAGTCATTTTCTTTGATGCATTGCAGCCTGCTGTCAAGACGCGCTGTTATTTTATCATCCTACACTTGTCTTTAAAATTCATAAAACACAGGAGAATGTGTTAAAGCAGAATGCAAACTGTACTCACACCATGCTAATAAATTCATGTGGCATAGCATCTCCTGTTTACTAAAGGACCACTCTGTAAATGACTTCCATCTAAGACAAATAGGCCTTGCGCGTGATTTGAACATCAGTACATGCAGACAGCCAAAGCATCCTCATGCAATCACATCAAACGCCACTGGGTCACTGCAAATCACCACAGCTTTGATGACTGATTCCACTTGTGAAAAATTCCTGCTGAGAGCTTTCAGTGCAAGCGAAGAGCCTGGCAAGTGCAAAGGTTTGTTATGGCAGGAATGAAGAGAGGATTAGGTCTATTATAATCAGAATCAGAGCTGCGGGAATGAATCAAGGGGTTATCCAGACCCCACTGATCAGCCAGACTCAAAATCACATCTTTTTCATGGCACAATGAATCCCACACATCCAGACAGGGGAAATAAGCCCAGTGCTGCCAAATCTGACAGTCATCTTGAAAAGAAATGCTGAAGCCTCAGACTGAAAAACAAAGACCAAAGTTAATAAGGAGTCAAGAGCAATGTGGATATTGCCCATACATACAGCAAGCAGGGTTTTGAAAAACTATACTGGCTCCATTTAGAATTTAGTTAGAGAGTATGTTTTTATGACAACAGATTACTAAAATTGTGGAAATAGTCAATAAAAACTCACGAAAACTCTTGAATTTAAACCCATTTTAACATTAAAACCTCTGAAAAATGCTGTTCATTTTTAATAGTAAAAAAAACTAATGCTTTTAGTATTTGTAATTGCACTCTCAGTTATTTCAGCACATATGATTAAACTTAGAACCAACATAAAAAAACTTTTACTGAATAAAGACTAAAATGTAGTCTAGGCCCAGCAGACACACAGGGTCATAAGGCGGTAATATTGGGTTAGATTTAAGTTGTGATGTCAGGTGACCACAATTAAATATCTAGTGTCTAAGGACAACATTATTTTGAAGTCCAATGACATCAAATGATGTTGATATTTGGTTAATTTTGGTTGTATTGGAAAGTGACCAACATTCAATGTCGAGCCAACATCTTAATCTAATGTCAAATTGACATCAAATACTGACATTTACTCATCACGTATGGCAACCAAAGTCTAACATCTGATGGACATTATAGTGGTAATGTCCACACAACGTCAAGCTGTAACATTATTAGACGCTGGTACTTTGTTGGTGTTAGGTTGATATTTGGTTGGACATTGGACATTGACGTCGGAGTGATGGTGATGTCAACCAGATTTTAATTTCCAAACACAATGCAACGCCACCATGACGTTGGGGTACATCGTCAATCTGACATCATGTTGACATCCTGTGCCTGCTGGGTGGAGGGGGGGGTCTTATAAGGTAAAAATTTATAATAAAAAAAAATCAGCTTTGTCAAGCTAGTATTGATATATTAAAGGTGCAGTAGGTGATTGTCTTCAGAAATATTTTTGTTGTGTTGGTTGAAAGTCTCTTCACATAACAATAGTACTGATTAAAGTAAATTATGTAAATGTATTTATATATAATTTTATATTTTGGGTAAGGCATAAGACTAATAAATGTTCATCCACTTAAATATTGTCGGGCCGACATCTCCCATAATTCTGAGAACTTCTGTGCACCTGTTCACACAGATCAGCCGTTTGCGCGT